TACTTCTTATCTTCTATTACTTCTTATCTTCTATTACTTCTTATCTTCTATCTATTACTTCTTATCTTCTATTACTTCTTATCGTCTTCTATTACTTCTTATCTTCATCTTTTATTACTTCTATTCGTATTTTCTATCGTTTCTTATCACCTTCTATTACTTCTCTTCTTGGATATCCTTTAACCGCAGGAATCGAATAGAGTTTCTTTCCACAGGACGTAATTCTAATTGTAAGCAGGCTTCTTCAATATTTGCTACTACAACATTCTTCCCCGTTTGAAATTGGAGTTAGGAAGAGTTATTCCTCCACGTTGTAAGACGTTATTTAAATTTTTTATCCCTTTTCGAATTTAATGAAGCATCATAAACAATTCCAGCATTAGTTATCATCATACTTGGTGATGTAAAAATAATCAGTGGTTAGCAACGTGGTCCCATTTCTCGTTGTATTTTCTCAATTATTATTGGACTGTAATTGGTCGCAAAGATTTTTCGTACTTGAGAAGTACTGTTTTTGTTTGGTTATCTTCTAATCAATGATTTCAATCGTTTGTTAATTTGAATTTTAATTCTATGGCCAAACAATTTCATTTAAATTTAGTGATATTTTCTTTAAAGCTCTATTGTCTATAAATTCTAATTTGATCAATATCTGGAGTTTTTTTTTTAATATTTTTTTAATGATTTTTAAAGCATAATAATTATGTCTTGTCCTCAAACATAATGGTATCTCTGTTCTCATCCTGAATGTTATGACATTCATCATAAGATGTAGCTAATAATAATTACGCTAATAATAATTACTAATATTGATAATAATGAATGTTGATTTATTGAAAATTTTCAATTTTCCAATCAATATTTTCTACAAAAAATTATTATCTATAATATTTTCTTCATTAAACTAGAAGTGAAACTTTTTCCGCTTGATTAATCATCTAATCTTTTTTATATAGATGTATATGTCTTCAAGATATCATTGTTATTATCATTATTATTAATTGTTGACATATAATGACATGCAATCAAATTTTATTTTAACATCACGTAAATAATGAAAAATTTTTAACAAATAC